TGTTATTTTTAAATTTTATTGAATTCGTCATTCCCTCACTAGTGTATAAAGTGAGGGAATGACGCTGAAGTGAGGGAATGATTCAAGAGGAGTATATTATTAAATTTTTTTTTGTTCAATCGTGCCAGCCAATTTTATTTCCCAAACCTGTAAAAACTATTAAATATATAAGAGTAAATTATAGTATCAGATATACTTAGTATGTTATCATTTTCAAACCTTAGGTAAATGTAACTTAGATAAAAACATGTATTAAAATAAAATATCATTCCCTCACTATTAGTGTCATTCCCTCACATTTTAAATAGCGAAAATAATTGATTTACTTATTAATAAATTTGAAAAATAAATTAAAAAATTAATAAATTAATTTATTAAATTAATAAATTTATTTATTAAATTAATTAATTAATTATGAATTATTATAAATTAATTATTTAAAAAATTAATTAATTTAAATATTAAGTATATTTCATAGGATATATACTTTCTTTATAATGCCATTACATATTTCTATTAATATAAAAAGTTTCAGAGCTTTTTATTCACTTTACTTTTTCGGGATTTTATGAACTGAAAAATGACAGTTTTCGTGAGAATGACCCATATGATATTTAATGAATTTACATAAAAAAAAGAGTAAAAATATGGCGTTCGCGAGCGATAGTGAACGTAATTCAGATGATTTTTCAGATTATGAAGAGGTTAACATATACTAAGACTAATATTTAACTTTTTTCATTTACCCGACATAATTTGGGATAGTAAACTGATGGTAAATTAAATATTTTTTCATTAAAAAATTAAAATTTAAACTTAGAATTTGTGTATTATGTTTTGTTTTTGTTCCTTGTGAAATAAAAAAAAATGCGTTGATTTTTTGCAAAAGGCAAAAATCAAAACTTGTTTGATTGCCGTGTGTACCGTATGTTGCGATGAAAGTAGAAGTGTTCAAAAGGCTGGTAAGCATCTCCAAGTTTCATCTGACAAAGAAACTGGTTTTAAAGTTTTTATCTGATCTTCTTCACAAGCGATTCGACACATTTTGTAAGCTATCTTGTACATTTCGAAACTGGACACATAAAAATTTAGAATAAATTCTAACTTTTTCTGTCTTCTTTGGACTTTATTATTTCAGAATTTAATACTTTTTTCAAACTTCAATGAAAGTTCACATCAAATCTCCCAATATACGAATTTCAATAAAATTATATAATGAAAGTAAAGCTTGGAAAGAAATAATGTTACAAACTGAAATTCTAATTTAATTATAAATATAAATTTTTACTGTCATTTTCAATGTTTTTAAAGATATTTTTGTCGTTTTTAAGGGTATATTTTAGAGCATCAAAATTCAAGCTTTACTTATAACTACTCAAAATCAAAATATTTATTATTTCAGCTTATTCTAATCTCCATTGCTTTATTCTTGATTTTAATAAATTAAAAAATAAATTTTTCTGTGAAAATAAGTTTTATTTTCATGTCTTAGGAATGGTAACTAATCGTAAAACGGTAATAAATGTCTTAATGGTAATAAACCAGAACGGAATCAAATTATATTCTACATAAAATCTATAATCATAAAAAATTAAACGAAGAAAATCAAGTTTCCGCGATAGAAATACGCTTTGTTACTTTTTAGGCTATTATTGTTATTATTATTATTATTCGTCAATTTCTTAAATATATTAATCCAAAACCTTTCCTTAAAATACAAAAATAATTAATTCAACCTTGAAATTTTATCCTAAAATAAATTTGTAAGTACTAAAATTTTAATTATTAAGTGCAAGTACTAAGTACCAAGTAATGTTTTACAATAAAAACGTATTCTGTTTAAAGGCTTGAAATAAAGTGTTTCAAAGATTATTAACCTTTATGACAAAATATATATTTTTTTAATTAGACAGTAACTATAACGTCTCTTTTTTTTTTGTCATGTGCTCTAATATAAGGATTAGCTAGCAGAAATTTTAAAATATGTAATTAACAATTAACGTTTGTTATGTTAACGCAATTATATGTTACTAATAATTAATTACGTTGTAATAGCACATGGATTTGTTAAAAGTCTAAAATCATGTAAAATATGAATGCTGTAAAGCAATGTTTCGTACATAGCTGTATTTTGAAAAAGTGAGATCTTAAATAAAATTCTTTTCAAGTCATTTAATATAACTAAACACTACCGATAAATGAATTTACGAAAAAATTTACGTCATCTAGAAAAAAAGTACATTTTCTATTCAAAAATTTAAAGAGTATTTAAGGGTTTATTACCATTATATTTCTATCTTTGAATGTAATTTAAGAAATACGTGAACCAATTATTTTATCACAATTAAGTGCTGAGATATTGTTATCTTAATCCTTTGAAAGTTTCATTTTAATTGTATTTTATTGCACTTTATTTTGAAAACAAATTAACCTTTAATGTGATATTAATAATAATTAAATATGTATATATACTGCTGGCAAAAGTTATGCTACCTGCCTTACCAGCTAAAGTGATACGTTAATCATAATATTAATAACTGCTAACAATAATTCGTTTCATTTGGACATAATTGTCGATTGTATCATAAATGTTCAAGAATGGAATGAAATTATTTTTATTTTTTATATTGGAATGAATTATAAGAGAATTATTAAATATTAAAATCAATTATTAAGGAATTTGAACATGTCTTGTAAAGGATATGCTAATTACTAGCAATATAATGGCCTCATTTACAAATTTTTCGGAAGAGTGTTTTTGGTGCAAATTTTTTAACTCTGAACTAATGATTTTGTGACGTTTCCTCGAGCATAATTAAAAATGATATTTTCTATCGAATTAAACAATGTATGTCATATTGTTATTATCCTATCACTAATTATTTTTTAAGATTTAATTCAAACTAAATAGTATATTATTAAAAACTGCATTTACTTGAAAAGAAACAATAAATAAATAATCTGAACTCCAGTAATAAAATCTTTTGGTTTTTTAGTTGCTATAATGATAATATAAGGCCATATAATAAGACTTTTTGAGAATTTTTCTGATACGGCATGTTTGATAAAAAAAAACAACGTGTTTTGCTAATGTAATTGGAGATTAACAAATATTAACTTTGAATATTGCTCAGGGAAAAACTAAATGGTGAATGTAAATGAAAATATATGAAATAAGCAACTAACATCTGATTCAAGAAGAGATAAAAAAAATGCTAATATAAAAAACAATCGTTTTCTAACTTAATAAAAATTTATTTTCAGTCAAGTACCCTCATTGTTTCGATTACAAATAGTCCTTAAAACCCCCAGAATGTCTTTATCAATGACATTCGAAATATGAACAGACAGTCCCTAATGATAATCCTATTAATTTCAATTTTGTAAAAAAATAAAAGATAATATCACGGCGAAATTAGACTACAGGGAATTGATTTAAGACCTTAGACAGACAAAATATTTGTCTCAATAGTCTCAAAATCTTAGAAAGTGGGAGCAACAAGCGAACCAATTGGCAGGGAGCAGAGGCGGTACAAACGACCCCCTTACTAACCAATAGGGGGCGCGTATCACTAGATATGGATTTCAAATGTTGGAAAGCATGGCGCTCCTGAGAGGCGGAGTCGGGAATTTTGTCACTACTTTCAAAGAACTTGGAGTTGGTATTGACAGTCAAGTTTGTGAACAGTCAAACGTGGGACGTTGGGACAAATATTTACTATTGCCTCAAACTTGTGATCAAAATACAACAAAACTATCAATTTTAAAAATAAGAAAAACCGATAACTAGTAATGTTTTGTGAGGATTATACCGTTAGCTGTTTCGATACACAAATACTTTAAATTAATATTAATAATTGGTAACCAATGTCTATCCTGATGTCAGAAAATGGTGAGGAGAGAACTGTTTGCTCATCAAATTCTTCAGAAGCTAAAGCTCCAACTGAAGACATGAAAGCACCTTCGATAGCCACAAGAAATTCTTTTTCTATAGCTAGCATCCTAAGTAGAGATGATCCGAAAAAAGAATTTCATGTTGTTCCAAATGATGTCAATACCTGCCTTGCCAGAAGGAACTTTCAGAATATTGCATTTGAACCACGTCTGGCGATTATGCGACACGCGCAGAACTTTTGTAATCATCAACAACATGCATATGTGAAACAGATATATCCTCATTATGCATGGAATCCTGTTTCAACTCGAGAAGAGAATAGGAACAATAATTCAGGTAAACAACTTTCTCAAAGTATTGCAAATTTATTTTAATAGTTATATTATTTTGAATGAAGTGTTTAATATCAAATCATAGGGATCAATTATCGCAACTTTTTTAAGAGAATCTTAACAAAGATAATCTTTCAAAGGTTCACCAAAAAATTCCTACCTATTCGCTTTAATTAAGAAGGCTGATTGTGGTAATTAAAATATACCACAGAAGTAGTAAATTAGCAAATATATGAATATATATATTTATATATTTGTTTATATATATATGTATATATATTCAGCATTTAGTTTTTAAAATAATAAAATATAAAAAAAAATGAATTTAATAAAAAAAAAATTTAAAAGACTGATAGAAACTGATTTTGTATAAAATTATTTATAAAATATTGAACACAGGCCTTTGAAAGAGAATATTAGCTTAGAATGAAAAAAAAGGAGTTGAGAGGGTTTCGAAACTTTAATTAGCTCTTCAAACATTCCTTGATAAGTACCTCAGATATTCCTTTAATCATTTACAATTTGGTAGCACAAACTTTATTTATAGCACAGAGTTTTGTAGCATTTCGAACTTGCTGCTTTCTGGATCAAAGGCTGGAAATTTAGAATATTATGATTATAGAACTACTACTAATTATTGTTCCTTTTATAAAATTGAAGTAACAAATTACTATATTTTTTAAAGGTATAGTCAGATTGAAATTGTTTCTTTCTTTATTTTTTGAATGCAATTATCAGGTCTTGCATCTAGATTACTCAATTATTGAAGTACAGTGATAGTATACAAACAATTGCTTACCGTTTTGCAGAGTTCATACTGATAATTTTATACAAAAGTAAACAATTTTGAACAATTGTAACAGTTTTTTACAATATCGAAAAATGCCATTAAGTCATTTCCAGTTTTGTCTTATCAAACCTTTAGAAAGACATTGTGTCAGCTATTAATACATACCCTGTACTTTACCCTGTTTGGAAATAATTTAATAATTAATATTTAGAACTAGAACTTAAAAAGGCATTAACAATGGTAGTAAGAATGGAAATATTGTACGATCTTAGTAGTTTTTTTTTTTAAAATTTAGTCTACCAAAATTAGTAAATAACAATATGTATGCTGTTTTTTAATTAGGTTATTATTCCCGAGAAAGTAATATATATATATATATATATATATGNGAACATATATATATATATATATATATATATATAAATACATATCGGCGGCAGCCGCGCGCATTTAACGATATAAAATGCTTAGTGTTTTGAAGTTTTGAATCTTATATTTAAGTTTAAGTTATTTATCTTAAATAAGATTCCTTTCTATAATGGATTTTTGATAATGGAAAAAATCCCCTTATTTCCATTATCAAAATAATTTAATCAATAGGAATGCAACATTTAAAAGTAATCGGTTATACGGAGGTATATACGGTGAAGAAAACAGCAATGTTATATATGACTCTATTTTAAATTCGTACACAGTTGCACAATTTGGGCGCTAAAATTATTATTGCACTCTAAAAAGTTTATAAGTTCAACATATTCTCCTATGTTGATGAAATCATAGTTTGATTACCTTGCGATAATGTCATTATACAGAATTATGTTTACGAAGAAATAAGAGCGTAGTGACAAATGTTTCATGGGGTTGTTGGAAGCAATAAAGTTTTAATATCTCTTCGATTTTAAGAATTGAATTCGACTGTTTAATTTCCAAACATAATTTCTTTTAATTTGCAAATGTTTTCGATAGATTGAAGTCAATTGAAGTACATTATTTTCTCTAACTTCCTCTAGCACTTGTTAAAGTTTCTTTTTGCCCTTTTTTTTGTTGAGAATAACAATACTGTTCTATGTAAACATAATTTAATTATTTTACTTTTCGTTTGGAATCCATCATATTTGTACATACATTTATTCTAAATAATTTAAAACAAAGTATTAAAACAAACTACATTAAAAAAATTAAGTAGTAATTTAAAAACAGCATAATTTGATTCCAACAAATTACATAAATAATTTGAAAATACTACCATAATTTAGACTAAATACTTTTATTTTACTACAGTAAATCTTAATTAATTGAATTTTATTGTGGATGTAAGTGAAATTTGAAAATTTACACAACAAAATTTTGTAATGCTATAGCTTTGATCCGTATGCTCTTTTACTGTTGAAAGTAATCATTAGTTTCAACGTATATCGGTATGTATTTACTTTTAATTGTGATCAACAGATTTAAATGATAATGAAAAAGTTTGAAATTACTGTTAATGGATCTTTTAAAGTTAATGAAAAGATTGTTCTGTTGATAAGAAAATAATTTAAATTTAATCCGTATAGATTCTTTGCAAGTAATTAAAGTACCTTCAACTGGTATTAAAAATGTTTAAACATAATGAATGTTTTAACGGCAAGGAAAAAGTTTAAAGTGCTGATGATAATGAGAAAATATAAAACACATGAAATTGAAGTATTAAGTAATCATAATTAAAAAAAAAATTAGCTTGCAGCAACAATTCTAAATGTTAAGAAAAATTTAATCACTGCTGTGAAACTGGAAAAAAAAGTCATTTGTGAAATAGTTTTTACAATTGCTTGGGGAAATAACTGCCCATTGTTTTATTATCATAGTTTTTTGTCATCGTCAAACTAAAAAATAAAAATATAGCAAGGAAGATTAAAGGGATATGGAAGTCTTATTTATATTTCGCGTTATGCAGATTTACAATTTATACTGCATATGTATTTGAAAAAATAGAAATTCGTTCTATGACGTTGATCGTTAATGAGCGTTTGTTACTGATGTTTACTTTATATACATTTTAAAATATAAATTATAGCTTTATTAAATTGATTGTTCATAAACGTTTATAGCTGTTTCATATTTCATATGTATTTAAAATATAAACAGTCGTTTTATTAAATTGTACCTTGATAAGCGTTTATAGTTGATGCTAAAAAATGAAAATTACTTCGTTATTAAACATTTTACTTGATGATTATAGGCTTAAGTAATGCAACAGTTTTAGTAATGCATTTAAATAAGAATGCTCTAAGGAAAACAACAATGTACTAAAATTTTATTATTTCGTTGTATTTATTCATGGCTATTCTTAAGATGCTATAATAATATCAGAGGATTTAAAAACTCGTTAAGGGTTTTGCAACTAACTATATAAGTTATGTTCCCAAAATTCGCCTAAGATTTCTTTGCAGATTTTTAACTCGTGTAATTTGCAATAATCAAAAATATATTTGCGTTTCCAATAGTCAAAATTATCCCATTCCTTCACTGGGTTATTAAAAGTTATTTGAAGTTTCGTGAAGATTCCTTTAAAGAATGCACTTTTAAAGTGATGGTTATGATATCAGTAAAAAAATTAATAAATAAATAAATAAAACCTATAATTTATTAAATCAAATCACGTCCTTTTACTGGGATTAAAAATATTTTATGTTCCTACTTTCCAAAAAAAAAAAAAAAATGCCAAGTTAGGTATACATATTAGGCATATATAGCAAAAGAAATGGAGAAATTCTTGCATATACATATATAAATCTAAAAAATTGTTCTACATTTCAGTATTCTTTTTCAGCCATAATATATGACAAAAAAAGAGTTTTCATTTTTATAAATATATACGTTTATTAAATTTTTATTACTTCTTTTCGGCAATAATTATTTTTTAATTGAACAAATTGAAACAATTGTTTATTAATACGATCTTAATCCTAATGTACTAATTGAAACAGTTGTTTAATAATACTATCCTAATTAGTACAATATTTAAATATTATGTAGTGAACCTCGAGTGGTTTGCAATAGTATTTGACTCCCCACGTAACGTACTCAACGTAATAACAAATAATGCAATTATATTTAATTTATTTTGATTTTAATCTAATTATATAAATGGTGCTGAATGTTTAATTGATAATAATATAATAATGAAGTACAAAACGAAACTCATTTACTTGATTTAAAATATTTTATAATGTTAAAAAGCATAAAAAAATTATTTTCGAGAAATCAACTCATTTAAAAAAAAAAAAAAAACAAAATGGTTCAACGTTGAAACATACTATCGGTGCTTCAAACTGCATTATGTTTTAAATTTTTTGAAACTTTAAAAAGGAATTGAATTGATTCATATAATTTTGTTGAATTATTTTCCATTTAAATTGAACCATTCCATTTAAATTATCTTGCACTCAAGTTTAAAAAGTGTGGATCTATATTACAACAAAGCACCATTTTTATATTGCATTAAATTTGAAAGACTCGGACAGTTAGCTATGAAATTTCTGACAATGTATTTGCGTGAGTTTCTTTTGATGTATAAAAATATTAACACCTTATTATTCAATTAACAATAAATAACGAAATGAAAAGAATTCAGAACTGAATTAAGGATTCTACCGGATAAATTCAAGACCAAAAAGTTCTTGATATTTGAGGAGACCTTTCCTGACTGCTCTAAGCTGCCAATTTTACAATTTTGTGCTGCCGATTGTGAAAACTGTATTAGAATGTTTTAAGTATATACATTGATAGTAATCCATTGACATTTAATGGGGAAAAAATGAATCTATCGCTATCTTCTATTACAAATATTAAAAAATATGGATTTTTAATGAAATTACTTACTGGTGTGTCTATTAATCGATCACAACTCGGTAGTTGATATTATCGCGACTTTCAAATTTAAACTTTGTTTCATCCCAGGCAGCTAAACTATTTTTAAAATTAAAGAGGAAAAAAGCCTCATTCATCACATTAAATATTTAAAAAATACTCTAAGCATTATTTTGAAAAGAAAGCAAAATTCCCGGTTTATAAAGAGAAAGTTTAGATGGATGATTTTGAATTTTTTTCTATTTTTTAAATCGAATATTGGATTAAAATTAGAAATGTTTGCAATTTTGTTGTTTAAACAATGTCTATGGCAAGGGTGGCAGACATTTTGCATATAATGCCCCAATTTTTAAACGGGTGTG